ACCCGGGCATAGTCCCTGACCGGGAATCAAACCGGGACCTCCTGGTTTACAGGTCGACGCTCAATCACGGAGCCACACTGGCTGGGCAGGTATGTTCTATGGATGGACTGTGAAGGAAAACCTCTCCTGTGTGTGCTCTCAGTATCCCTGCTGCACTTCGGACACGCTCATCGGCTGTGTGGGGTTCCCCTGGCAACAGCCCCCTCCTCAGGGGCTGTGTAAAGGTCACCTCATTAACATAAACTCACATGAAGTAAAAAGGGACTTGTTGTTTATTAATAGCAAAAGACACTCACTTCACCTTTCTGCTCCGGAGCTGTTTCAGGACCTGGGGGTAGAAACAAAACATCACACGGGATGATGGCCCGATGGCTCTTACAGAGCGAATCCCAAGGGTTTTAGGAGCGATGTGCCCGGAACAGTGGACAAAGGTCAAATATGTACTTCTTTTTGTAAATCATGTCACACTGAATATTGTACAGCTCTCATGGATAACATGCCAACATGCACAAGAAAAATATGAAGAAGCCTCCACTGACAAAGATGACTAAACAAGGAAATAGCGCAAGAAAAGCAGAAAATGGATATTGCTAAGAATTTCAGAAAGAGAGTTTTGCCAAGTTCAGCTACTGATTTCCCTTCTGGATATATTTGCACATGATTATAACTTTTACATATCCCAAGCATATTTTCATAAACACATTGTGTGTGTGTGTGTGTGTGTGTTTTTATGTTTCAATGTTTCCTGTCTGTTCATCTAATGATGATTGGGCACCTGCTGTGGGCCAGGCGATGTTCAAAGAGGTGGGTGCCTACATCAGTGAACCCAGAACACTCCATTTCATGGTGTTTACAAACTATCTGGGGGGAGACAGATAATAACCAAGTCTAGCAGGATGTTGAAGTGGAATTCTTTCTTGTTTTCATTGTTTTGCGCACCGTAGTGCAAGAACATGGCAAAACTGGTCAGCACACAGTCAGGGAAAATGGAAACCACCCTAGCTAAGTTGACAAGAAACGTATAAACAGTGGTCGGCAAACTGCGGCTCACGAGCCACATGCGGCTCTTTGGCCCCTTGAGTTTTTAGCAAAGGCCAGCTTAGGAGTGCCCTAATTAAGTTAATAACAATGTGCCTACCTATATAGATTAAGTTTAAAAAATTTGGCTCTCAAAAGAAATTTCAGTTGTTGTCCTGTTGCTATTTGGCTCTGTTGACTAATGAATTTGCCTGGTATAAGGAGTTGGCTCAACAGGTATTACAGGACTGAAAATGCAGAGGGAACAAAGGAGAGTCAGACAACAGAGTCAGTTTTGTCACCCCGTGTTTGGAAACAAAGGGAACAGGTATCAGAACCTATTTGTTTGGATGGGAGTCTCCGAGTGTAGACCCGGACTTAAGAGAAGGGGACGGTGGCCGGCTAGTGCGGACTTAGGGAGCGCACCTCACCTCCGAGGGGTCCGGGGAGTGGGGACACAGATCTCTGGGCTGGGGTGCTGCTTGGCCAGGCAGGTATCTCATGCAGATGTGCAGAAGGGCTGGTTCTGGCAACGTGGGAAGCCTAGGGAACCAACTGCTACTGGAAACTAATGCTGCTGCCTGGGCGAAGGGGTGTTGCCGGGTAACTGGCAGGAACAGGAAGCAACCAGAAAGGGGCTGGCCCCTTCTTTCCATTTCCCCACCCCCCCCTTTCTGGCCTTCCAGGCTCCCTCTGATGGGCCCTGCTGGCAAGTAGGAAATGTTTGCAGAGCCCTCACCCCCACAACACAAAGCAGTGTGGAAGGACCATAATGGCCATGGGCCCAAAGACAGCAGGGCCAATTACTCTTACGTTCTGAAATTTGCTAGAATAACCGACAGGACTTCAGGAGAGCCTGAAATTGGTTGTTTTTTAAAATTGTGCTCAAATATACAAAACATGAAATTTACTCCCAAACTCAGCTCTTCAATCCAGTGTTGGTTTGTGACCATGTTTTCATCAATCTGTAGTGGAATGAGAAAATTAAAGAAGGTTTCGCCGGTTTTCATAAAGCTAAATTTTACTCCCCTTTAAAGGACTTCTTTAAAGTTTGAAATTATGGCCTTCCAACTTTTGTCGGGGTAAATTGTCCATTCATCTGTGTTCTAATGGGGACAGTAAATTATAGGTTTTAAGTGAGTGTGTGTGCGTGTGCGTGAGAGAGAGAGAGAGAGAGAGAGAGAGAGAGAGAGAGAGAGAGAGAGAGATGGTCTAGCCTTTGGTAAAGAATCAGCTGGTCCCTCTTGTTCTCCAAATATCCCTTTGAAAATTTGGGGGTCTGTGAAATCCATAAGACAGAGAAGTCCTGGACTACTAGGTTAGGGCCTGAATTCTGGGTGAGGAAATGGGGAAGCGATGGGAGACACATCAGAGGAGAAAGACACAGGTGGCATCTATAGGACAAGATGCCTGACCGTCCAGATTTTACTGCACTTTGTGTGCACATGACTCTGTACCTCAAATGTACAATCAGGCATTTTTATCAATAATCCCATGGGCAGCTTTTTGGGCTCAATTGTATTAGAAACACTTTATGACATACACTAATAGATAATCGATCCTTGCCTTTCTCCCTTCATTCCATTCTTAGAAAAGCATCACTCCATAACAATGGACATTGTACCCCACAGTGATACCGCTGAGGGATGCTCAGTGTTACATTTTCATTTATCTTGAATCTCATCTGTTTCATTTCCTCATTCTTTTCTAGCCTTCTCTCATCCACAAAGTCACAATGACTTGTAATCGCGTTCCAATGAATAGGCTCTCCCGTGGAGGAGCCACCTTTGATAACTCTCACCATCAACATTGTGCTGAGAGTTCTGGTTTTTTATGTTTTGTATTTGCCTCCCATCACCACCTGCTCTGCCATGCAAGATGGTGTCACCTTCATTTCCTTCATTTAGATTTTAAAGATGATACTCCCAAGTGAATTCAATTTAGGGCATATAGTGCTTGAACTTTTCAAGAAACACAAAATATTTGGCTTGGGAGGGGGGTGAGGGGAATATTTGACCCCCTTCCTCTTAGGGTAAACTCTACTCATTTCTTTCCACTTTCTTTCAATATATGTTTACTTTAGAGTAACCTGTTAGTTCTATTGGAAATCTAGAAAGGGTCATATTGTCCCAGTGCCACATGTTTTACTGTGTTGAAGTCCTGAGTGTGTTCTACGCATAAGATTTCAATCAGAAATGCCAGGTGTTCCTTCCTTACCATTTCTCCTATAATCTCTCCGTTGCATCATTAAGGAGTTCTGTGTAACATAGGGAATATTCATTAGAGCAGTACCCTCATTTAGAGGGAATAATACTCAGAGACAATTATTAAGGCTAATATTGCATGCTAGCTCTCCTTTTCTATCAAAAACTCATATACTTGCTACCTACTCCTGCCATTTTTGCCATTCTTCTTCTGCATTGCTATTGCATTAGTTGTAGCTTCTTGAGAGTGGGGACCACCCATCTTTTACCCAGTAGGTTCTACCTTTACCTGACTTACTCTGCTATCTCCTGAGCTTCAACTTGGATAGAAGCCTGTCAGGGCAGCTCATTCATTGAGGCACTGAAGGCTGACGGGAAGGCGCCCAGACAGTGCTGGCTGGTGACAGTGGAGCGCTGAGGTCAGACCAGGGAAGAGTGATTGCAAATGAGAGCCTTTAGTTGCAGGGAGAGGCACAAGGTTCAATAAACGAACATGCTTTCTCTATGATTAGAGAAGCTCTGAAAGTGCATGAGGAAAGATGAGTTCCTTTGACTAACAGCTCTTTCAAGACTCTTCTTCTTTTTTGTAATATGTTTTTATTCATTTCAGAGAGGAAAGGAAAGGGAGAGAGATAGAAGCATCAATAATGATGAGAGAGAATCATTGATGGGTTGCCTCCTGCACCTCCCCTACTGGGATCGAGCCTACAACCCAGGCATGTGCTCTGACTGGGAATGTTAACCATGATCACTTGGTTCATAGATGGACGCTCAACCACTGAGCAACATCAGCTGGGCAGGATCCTTCTTAAATATTCTTCCTACAAAGCCACGCTTTGCAGTTCTCAGGGGTGCTGATTATATGCCTGCATATAATTGAGAGATGATTGGGATTTAAATATTCCAAAGACAGAGGGCTTTTCAGAGCATACTCAGATCACTGATTCTTAAACAGGGGCCCAGATTGGGGTGGAATGGGGGACAGGAGGAAGCTGGGGAAAGCCACACGCACCCCACCATCTTGAGAATCACTGTACCTAGTAAGAGGTACAGTTTGTGGCGGTGAGGTGCACACACAAAGGATATGCAGTCTACAAAAATGGTTGAGCACATTAAGGTTTATTTGCCTCATTGACAGATGAGGAATCTGTCCCGAGGTGTCACAGAATGGCCTTTTCCTACCACACCAGGCAGCTCTTCACATCCCATTTTGTACCCCTGAGACCTCCGCCTTGCAAAGTGCTTTTTGACCATTGCAGGTCCAATTTTTAAAAAATTTTTAGTAACTAAGAGCTTTTTGATGCGTTTCAATGCAGACCCCACTCTGTTACGAAAAATGCGAAAAGTAAATGTGAGCAAGAAGAACAGGAGAACTTGTCAGAGTGACATGGAAGTAGCTGATAACAGGAACACATACTGAGCAGTCACTGGGACAATTTAGCACAATTTAGTAATATTGTCTCAAATAGGTAGTACATTTAATTAAGCCACCGAATTCCAAGTTGACTCTGTGTGCTTGTCATTTTTCCAGGGACAAGATGAAACCATTCAATTTAATTTTAGGGAAAAGTACAGCACATCTTACAGAAAGCTTAGGAATTAAGTTCAGAAACTGCTCTTGGAGTTCTGGCGTATTCCACAGATCTTAACAGTTCGCTCTCATCCCTTCTTCTCTGGATAACGTATGGATACGTCCGGAGGTGAACCTGGGCTGCAGCGGGCTCCATGTTTTTATTATGTCAGATAATACTTACTCTTTGTTTGTTTTTTTCCTAATAGGACCTGGGTCCCCTGCAGAGCGGCTCATCCTGTGAAGGAATCTCTACTTGATGTCACTCTACCACTTTTCACGTACACTGCACATCGAGAAGGTCGTGAGCAACAGCAGTCACTCTGTGAGGGTGGGAACTGCCGTGATTCACAAAGAGAAGAGAAGAGGTAGTTTTCCTGTAATCACAAGATGACTCAGGTTAGTTGCTTTCAGCTATTCCTACAATTTAAGTAAACTGAGGTTTTTGGCCATGTCCATGTTCAGTAACCCTAATTAATCCCAATTCCTATAACTTTAAGTTTATGACCATGATATAAAGTTGGAATTTATTTTTACACTAGGTATAAAAAAAGAATTTGAAAATAGTTGTACAGAAAAAGTTAAAATTACAAGAAAATACAGTACTTACGTGTTTTTTTTTGTGTGTTTTTTTTTAGTGCAAAATGCTTGTCTAGGACTTTAAAAACATTGCTAAATAATACTTTATTATTATACAAAAAGTTTGCCATGTACTATAATTTGTACTTGAAAGTAATTATGTAGATGTTACATTTGAAGAAACACCTATTAAAAGCTAAAAAACAAAAACAAAACAACTATTATTTAATGATCCTATCTAATAAAGAGGGGAATATGCTAATTGATCATCACACACTCACAAAGATGGCAGCACCCACAGCCAATAAGGAGGGAATATGCTAATTGACTATCAAAGATGGTGGCACCCATAGCCACTAGATGGTGGCGCCCAGTCCCCTCAGCCCCACTGGGGAAGCAAGCATGCAGCATGGCCAGATTTGCCCCTAGGTGGGTCCAGCCACTCTGTGCGCCTGTCTCTGGAGTCCCCCAGTCCTCTCAGCCCCCTAGCCACCCAGGGCCAGCCTGAGATGCAGGCAAGCCTCCAATGGCGGCTGCCTAGCCACCCAGGGCCACCTGAGGGAGCCAGCCAATGCGTATGCTGCTGGCAGTGGCAGCAGCAGAGGTATGATGGAGGGGTCACCTTCCCCTGGTCACCAGATCACCTCCTGCTCTGAGGGCTCCCAGACTGTGAGGGGGGCAGTCTGGGCTGAGGGACGCCCCCCTCCAGTGCATGAATTTTAAGTAAATTCTTTGAAGTGTCCTGACTAACTTGTATTTTTACTTTAGAATTATAGTTTACATCTTTAAAATGTAGAACAGAGTTTTGTTCCCTCATTTTAAATACTGTGTCCTCTGCGGTGTTTGTAGTAGGAGAACAATTTAAATTTTTTTAGTGATAAAAGTGTGGCTGTTGCATGCCTAGGGGATAGCTCTAACACAGGCCTCTACTGGGGCAGGAAATCTGTTGTCTGGCAGAGGATGCTCAGGAAACAGCTCATTGAGCCACTGATTCTAATTCTACAGTTAATTACTGAGTGACTGCCCTGGGTTCAGTTCCTTCCTTCCAGGATCTTCTAATCTAGTTGGGGACATATACAGAGTATAGAGTTCAAGTTGGTATCAGGAGAAATGCCCTGAGAGTGACAGAGATAATAAACACGCAGCACACAAAATTACTGGGAGAGATGTTTGTAGCTATAGTTACCCACGAAGTCTTCATGGAGGAGGAGGAAGCTGTGCTAGGCTTGGATGGCCAGGTGAGACTGTGGAGGGGGTAGGTGATAGGAGAGCATTTCGGATGAGAGAGAACCGCCTGCTGACTTCAGTGAAGACCTCAGTGAGGAGCGACAGAGGAGTTTATTAGCTCTCTGAATCGGGAAAGGTAAGGAGTGGCTCACAAGACTTCAAGGACTAGTCTCAGGGACCCGAAGCAGGACACTGTACTGCCATGTTTTGTTTTGTTTTTTCCTCTCCATTTGTCTCTTACTCTGTTTGCTCCCCTGACTTCATTTTCTTCACTTTTTTTTTTAAAGTATATTTTATTGATTTGTTACAGAGAGGAAGGGAGAGAGATAGAGAGATAGAAACGTCAATGAGAGAGAAACATTGACCAGCCGCCTCCTGCACACCCCTTACCGGAGATGTGCCCGCAACCAATGTACATGCCCTTGACCGGAATCGAACCCGGGACCTTTCAGTCCCCAAGCCGACGCTCTATCCACTGAGCCAAACTGGTTTTGGCTCATTTTCTTCACCTTAAAGACAGGCCTTTTCCCTGTGGAAGTAAATGGCCAGTGGCAGTCTGACCTTTATGCCTTTCCTACTCTGTGATGCCGGAGGCAAGGCCAACATTTCTTTGGCTCTACACTGAGCTATCTTGAGGAAAGGCTCTGATTGGCTCAGCTTTTATCACCTGGCCACACTTGAACCAGTGATTGTGTCCAGAAATATAGGATGCCATGATTGGCCAGGGCTAGGTCATGCGCCCACCCAGGAAAGGCAAGACACAAATTATCAGAAGGGGGAAGGTGAATTTGGTTGGATAAATAAAGACAATAGATATTCTAGCCTACTCAGAGTTAGATATACCTAAAGTGATATTTTAATATTGTAAATCTAACCATGTTGCCCCCCAACTCACCTACCAACTTAAAACCTCTTTCTATTGCTCTTTAAAAAAAACTCCTATTTGGATGAACTGTTGAACCAAATAGATCCAGAGACATAGAAGCGTGAAACAGACTGTCTAACTTCAGGGGAAGGCAGGGGAGGGTGGGTGAGTGGGAAGTGATCAAGCAAAGAGCTTGTAGGCATATATGCATAACCCATGGACACAGACAGTATGGTGGTGAAGGCCTGAAAGAGGTCAATGGGGGTGGGATTGGGGGGGAATATATGTAATACTTTCAACAATAAAGACTTCAAAAAGAAAAAAAACCTACAAATTGGGTCTTCAGATTTTCAGTGCATTATTGTATCTGACTTCTCCTTACCTTTCAAATTATTTTCCCTTCTCTCATGACTCACAAGGCATCAGCTACAGGGGTCCAGAATTGGACTGCACAGAGATTTGGAAGCCTGGCTACACCAAACCCTCTCACCCTAGCTTCTCCTTGAACCCTGCACTTTTTAAAAATATATATATTTTATTGACTTTTCACAGAGAGGAAGGGAGAGGGATAGAGAGCCAGAAACATCGATGAGAGAGAAACACCAACCAGCCGCCTCCTGTACCCCCACCTCCCCACCCCTCCACCGGAGATGTGCCGGCAGCCAAGGTACATGCCCCTGACCGGAATCGAACCTGGGACCTTCCAGTCCACAGGCTGATGCTCTATCCACTGAGCCAAACTAGTTTCAGCATGAACCCTGCACTTTTAGTTTCCTATGAGTCTTGCTAGCTTGATTACATTACCGAATTCTCAAGGAATTTGCATATGTAATTAACATGGAAAATATTGTAGGAAATTTAAATCCACAATGTCAAAAATGTCACACTGAATAGTCCTCTCTATAAGTCAATTTCACAATCAGCTCTTTGTTCTGCAGTGTATAATCTTAACTGTAAAATAGAATAAAACAAAAAAAATAGATGTTTATTGTTCCCACACTTTAAAACAGCTCTTGGAAGTTACTTGTTTATGGGAGAGGCCAGGCAATCAGGGGAGGACTCAGAGAACACTCTCCGGGGCTGTTGTTCAGATGCTACAAAAGCTGAGCTGGTGGTGAGAGCCAGATTGAAGGGAATTGAGTTTTTGTGGATTGCCACTTAACATGTGCAAGTGCAATAAAGTTTATTTGTCCTAGGGTCTCGAAATTGTCTTGCCTGACTGATTTCCTAAAGGGAAACCATTTAAACAGACTAAGTCTACTGAAAAAAAATTTTTTTTAGTCTACTGAGATTTTGGTTTAAAGGAAAAGCACGCCGTGTTTTGGTTTTCTTGTGTGTGGGCAGTTGTAGCCTGCCATATGTTTACTTTGTAAATTCTAGTGGAGGGTGCGATATAAGCTGTTTCCGTTTGGGTGGAAGTTTTGTCAGACCTCACAAATGAGATCTGTACTCTGTTAGGAGTTTGCCAGATCTGCTGGGACTGTATGCAGGTCCATGGTAATTAAGGATAACCTACGCCTAATTTTTTTTTTTTTTTTTTTTTTTGAAGAGGGAATCCTAAAAGCCTTCCTGCTGTAGAAGGAAGGATGAATTAGAATACAGTTGTCCCCTGTACCTCCTGGATGGCTGGAACCATCAATAATACTGAACCCTATAGGCACTATGTTTTTTCCTATACATATGGGAAGTTCACATATACACATATAAAGTTTAATTTATAAATTAGGCACAATAAGAGATTAATAGCCGAAACTGGTTTGGCTCAGTGGATGGAGTGCCAGCCTGCGGACTGAAAGGTCCCAGGTTCGGTTCCAGTCAAGGGCATGTACCTTGGTTGCGGGCACATCCCCAGTAGGAGGTGTGTAGGAGGCAGCTAATCGATGTTTCTCTCTCATCGATGTTTCTAACCCTCTATCCTTCTCCCTTCCTCTCTGTAAAAAAATCAATAAAATATATTAAAAAAGAGCCGAAATCGGTTTGGCTCACTGGATAGAGCGTCGGCCTGCAGACTGAACGGTCCTGGGTTCGATTCCGGTCAAGGGCATGTACCTTGGTTGTGGGCACATCCCCAGAGAAGGGTGTGCAGGAGACAGAGAAGGTCGGGGAAGGCTTTCTGGACGAGACGATGCTGTGCCGAGAATGAGTAGAAGTTAGCCGGGGTAAACACAGCACCTGTGCAGGCCCCTGGGCGAGGGGGGGTAAGTGTCACTGGGAAACCAGGCATCACTGAGTATCACAGGCTCGTCCGATGCTGGCGAAAGAGGGTGAGCAATGGCTTCGAGAGGCAAGTCGAGGCCAGGTCAGAAAGAGGCTTGTTAGCCCTCCTGAGACACCTGAACTTGATCAGACCAGTAGGGAATGCCTGTGAGGAAGTCTAAGCTACGAAGCGGCACCATTCGATTTCTATTTTATAGAAAGAGTTGTGGCAGAAATAAAGAAAGGGATGGAAGGGCCCCCCCCCCCCCCAAAAAAAAAAAAACCCTGCTTACGGGCTGTGGGTGTAATTCAGGTAAAGAGACAAGTGCCCTTTCTAGAACAGCATCCGTAGGGATGCAGAGACGTGGTTGGATTCCAGAGACACTAAAAAAGGTAGAATCAGCCGGGCTTTGGGACCGGGTTGGAGTGGTGAGCCGCACGTTACACAACTTAAAAATCCGTTTGTCATCAGAATGATGTTATCCAGTTGAATCTTAGGTATGTGCTTCCGACATTTAGAACTGATCTCGCACAGGAAGTGGCAATGACTAGCTCATTCCTAAACCATTATTTTCTGGAGATTTGCCAGTAAAACTGGTGCAGTTTTGAGTCTTTTTTTATTTTTATTGATTTTTTTACAGAGAGGAAGGGATAGGGATAGAGAGTCAGAAACATCAATGAGAGAGAATCATCCATCGGCTGCCTCTTGCACACTTTCTACTGGGGATGCGCCCGCAACCAAGGTACATGCCCTTGACTGGAATCGAACCTGGGACCTTTTCGTCCACAGTCTGATGCTCTATCCACCCAGCCTCACCAGTTTCGGCCAGTTTTGAGACTTTGGACAGCTGCGGTGAAGGTTTTTCTCTTTGCAGCGTCTAGTAAAGTGTAAGATCGGCACAGCCTCGGCAGCTGTAGTTCCCCGGTTTAGGACACATGCCGTCTCTGACCGGCCTCTCTTGGGGGGGCCCTGTCTCCCCAGGATGGACCAGGAGGCGGCCCAGCTGGAGAAGCAGCACGTGCACCACGTGTATGAGAGCACCGCCCGCTACCTCAGCGACCTGCAGGGCAAAGCCTGGCCCCGCGTCCGCCAGTTCCTGCAGGACCAGGAGCCCGGCAGCCTCATCGCCGACATAGGTAACGGGGCCGCTGCATGCATGGTGAGAGGGGTCCCATCGCGTCTTTCTTTCCGGAGTCCGTTCTTGCCGTGCGAATCGGCAGTCTGAAATGGTGCCCTTGGCATGCCTGCAACCCAGCTCATTCCCTTTATTTTTTTTTTAAGATGCTTTTCTTGATTTCCGAGAGGAAGGGAGGAGAGAGAGAATCATTGATCAGCTGCCTCCTGCACGCCCCACACTGGGGATCCAGCCAGCAACCCACGCATGTGCTCTGACGGGGATAGGTCTAGGCCAGTGGTCGGCAAACCGCGGCTCTCGAGCCACATGCGGCTCTTTGGCCCCTTGAGTGTGGCTCTTCCACAAAATACCACGGCCAGGGCGAGTCTATGTTGAAGAAGTGGCGTTAGAAGAAGTTTAAGTTTTATAAATTTGGCTCTCCAAAGAAATGTCAATCGTTGCACTGTTGATATTTGGTTCTGTGGACTGATGAGTTGACCGACCACTGGACGAGGCTCAACCACTGAGCCACACCCCACGGCAGCTCATTCACGCTATAGCAGAAATTCATACAATCAAGTCACAAAGTAGGAAACTTCCTCAAACTTACATGTAGACAGTGGCGATCTTTTCAGCATTTGAGGGCACATCCTCCAACCTCAGTTGACTAAATCAGGATTAAAATGACTGCTTGGGAAGCTGACTGTTGTAATTTTAGAGATGGTCACATGTGTACATAGCGTGTTCAGGTAGCTCACCTTGAGTGGCTCTCATGCCTTCCACAGAAGATCCAGAGATCACAAATTTCCTGTAACCTCTTATTAATCTCATGGATTTCTCACCCTGAACTACTCTGTGGGCGTTTCATTTTTAGAGCCTGTCTTTAGATAGACCACAGCTTTATAATCATGGCTTTGCTGGCAGATTTGGGCTAAGGATGTTTCTGCATTGAGTGGTAAACCACAGCCTGGTAGATCTAAGACTAAGGTCTGGGATCCCCATTTGAGGCTGCCCACCCCAATGTGCTTTCTACCAGCTGCATGAAGATTGCACCCATGGCGTCCTAAGTCTGTATATACACACTCTGCCTAATCTGACATGCACTCTAATAGGTAGGCAGAGAAACACGTGTACCTGGCCAGGGCTTTTGACTTGTTGAAGATGGTGTGAGCAGTGTGGATTTTGTTGGAGGAGTGAATGTCATGTAGAAATAGAGTCTTTGAAAATATCTCTACCATGTCAGTGTTTGTTTTTTTAAATAAATCTGGTTTTAGAAGATACAGTGACTTTGGAACTCTTACCATCCATAGTCTAAGCACAGTACCAGGGTCTTAAAATCAGCTGGTAGGAAAAGGAACTAGTATTCAACACATGGCTTTAGGACAATAACATGCACACACGCTACTTTCTCATCCCTTCCATCAGAAATTCCAAACAAAGTACCGGTGGAAGTACAAGAAAATGAAATTATTAAAGAACTAGAGGACAACTAGGCTATTTTAAAAGAACAAAATAAAAAAGAATAAAAGGATAACTTAAAAAGATAAAATAGCCCTAGCCGGTTCGGTTCAGTGGATAGTGTGTCAGCCTGTGGACCAAAGGATCTTGGGTTCAGTTCCGGTCAAGGGCACCCACCTCGGTTGCAGGCTCCTCCCCAGACCAGGAGGCAACGGATCAGTGTGTTTCTTTTATGTTGATATTTCTCTCTGTTTTCTCCTCTCTATTCCCCTCTTTCTAAAAATCAGTGGGAAAATACCCTCAGGTTAGGATTTTAAAAATAAATAAATAAAATAAAAAATACTCTGAGGCAAAAGGCCTTTCTCTGTATGATATTGTTTTAAACCTCAGAAAGCATTTTTTAAAAATACAGTTGATTGTCATTTTCCACAGTGTTATTTATGTTCTATAAAGTTGCCACGGACACTGGATTAGTGAATCCTGCGTTCTAACCCTCAGGGGGACGGGACTCAGTTCCTGGGACCCTCTGGCCACATTTTTGTCAACAGGACAACACCTCACCTGGTTCCATGTGTGCTTCTGTTTATGATTGATTTGCTAACAGTGAGCTGACAGGCAACCACCCTGTCTGACGCCTAGACAAAGCGTATTTTGTCTGTAAGGCCCGTCTCAGCCTTCCTGCGCTTAGAAACCGTAGGCAGCCCTTGAGCACGACGCTGAATTTTAAACAGGGAAGCCACCCCCCAAAAGGGCGTAAACGCACAAAATGCGTGCGGTGCAGCATACAAAGCGGAGGGAAAGGGAGGCATGCAGACACTGGCCGGTCTCTCCTCAATCCTACGAAAGGTCAGCATCTAATGAGACGTTGCAGAGGACCCGGTGGCTGTGTCCCCATGCTTGCTGCAGCATCGCAGACCTGATTTGTTTCCTGCACATGTACAATGGTGGGGGGACTGGGCTGGGCGGTGTTCTGGCTTTCCTCGTTAGGATAAAACCTTCCCCCTCTAGCATCCCCGCGTGTGCACTTAGGAAACGGATAAGCGGATCAGATCTGGGATCTCCACGGCCGTCCTTAAGCACAAATACCATTAGAGAGGGATGTGGGATGAGACATGCTGGGAAGTTTTCAGGAGACGCTGAGATTTTTAAAAGGCTTCGGTTTCCTCATTATTACCAGTTGCTCTGGGAACACTTCCTTCGAGCAGTAATCATCTGTAAATCTGTTTTTATTCGTATTTTTTTAGTAATTTTCCTTTCATTTCTCTAAATGTAACCCCTGAGCCAATAAATAAAAAAAAAAAGATTTAAAAAAAAAAAACAAAACACTCTTTGTAATCAGTATTTCAGTTTTAAAACACTCTGTGGATTATATTTTCCCCATGATTGCACTTAAATATTGGATACTTTTTCTCACAAGCATTCTTAGGAACAGTGACCATGAGATCTGAAATGTTTATAAGACTCCAACCATTTACATGGAAATACTAACATTGGAAATATTATTTTTTTATTCGTAAGCCATCCACTGTCTCACCTGGCATCAGCAAACCTTAATTATGCTTGTGGTGTCTCATGTAATTTTCAACAGCTCCTATCAAGGAGGAGTTATTTATAATATAAACAAGTGTGATAGCTCTGCCGGCATGGCTCAGTGGTTGAGCATCAACCTATGAACCAGCAGCTCACGGTTCCATTCACGGTCAGGCCACACGCCCAGGTTGCGGGCTCAAAACTCAGTGGGGCGTGCAGGTGGCAGCGATCAATGATTCTCTCTCATTATCGATGATTCTATCTCTCTCTTCCTCTCCCTTCTTCTCTGAAATCAATAAGAACTATATTTTTAAGCAGTATTTCAGAAGCTGCAAATTAATCATCTTTGAATAGTGGTTATATTTTAGAAAAATATGAAACAAAAATCTACAGGTAATTCCAGAAAGAACACATCTCAGTTCTGTTGATATCGATATAATAAAAGCCTAAGTGAACGTTATGGCGGAAGGACTGACCAATAAGAGCTGCCCCCTGGTGGTCAGTGAGCTCCCACAGGGGGAGCAGCCTCTCAGCCAGAAGCTGGGCACACCACTGGTGAGTGCAGCAGTGGAGGTGGGAGCATCTCCTGCCTCCAAAGCAGCACTAAGGAGCAGCAAGCTCAGTGGTTAGGAGTGAGCAGGTGGGCAGTAAGGAGTGAGGGATCCTGGATTGCAAGGGGGATGTCCCTCGAGAGATCCCTGACTACGAGAGGGCACAGGCCTGGCTGAGGAAAACACACACCCCTCCCCCCCAGCCCCAGTGTATGAACTTCATGCACCGGGCCTCTAGTCTTGAAATATTTCCGAAAAGGAATTAGATGACGTGTCTGTGCTGGAATATACCAGGTACCAGATTTGGAAGGCTTTGTTTCAGGATGGTGATTCATTCATGGCATCATCTTCTTCCCTGTCATATCACTGAGATCTGATTGACCTGGGCTGTGTAAACGTTGAATGGCTTGGGTCTCTGCCATCAGAAAGTAAATGTCAAAAATGGTCTACTTAAGAAAAGGATAGTTCTTTCTTAGGTTGCATTCTGAGTCACATGAAACCGAGCACTGATGATAGGGTGGATGAAAAACGGTTGAAATCTTTTTTTTTTTCATTTCAGTAAAAATTTTTTCATTCCAATAAAAATTTTTGAAAAGCCCATTGTCTGTATAGCCATTTTAAAAGTTGTGGGCAGTGGTTTGTTTTATGTAACCAGTGAAGCTGTAAGACTGTCTAGAGAGATAGCAGGAGAATGAAGGCCATAGCATATAGATCTGTACCTAATGAAATATGTATGTGAAGGCAGCTCTTGTAAAGGGACTGGACACTGCCCCGGGGAATGCTAGGGACCAATCATTCCTTAGCCACGGGCCAGCTAACAGCTCTGCTAGCATGCTGCGCCCTGTGGACGTTACCTCGCTAAATATTTAATAAGTATTATTTAGCTTTCCCAACCCCCTTTCCCTCTCCTATTCTATCTGAAACTACGTAAGGGCTGTCTGAGGCTTTGCTTTTGCTCCTGTGTTTACCTTCACCCCATGCTGTATTCTGTCTCGGTTAGTTCATGTAAGGCTATTTCTCTTCTTGATATCAGACAGGCTCACCAGCATTGTTTCCATTCTCCTCTAAGGACAGGATGTAACACAGTGTTTCTCTTGCAGGTTGTGGGACTGGAAAATACCTTAAAGTGAACAGCCAGGTGCACACCCTGGGCTGTGACTACTGCGGGCCGTTGGTAGAGATTGCCCGGAGTAGGGGATGTGAAGTCATGGTATGTGACAACCTTAACCTCCCCTTTAGGGATCAGGGCTTCGATGCCATCATCTCCATAGGAGGTAAGGCAGCCTGGGTCCACGGTCCCTCTTGGCCATGAGAATCATGTTGTGTGGCGGAGGCCATGCTTACAACCCAACACCCATTCTTGGTGGAAGGGTCTGTGTAGTTCCTTTTAGCTAATTTTTAAAGACCTGTCAACTAGTTGAATTATTTGACTGACCTCAAATGTGTTTATGGTGGGACATATAATTATTTGAACTAGTTAAACGTTCACACTGTTATTTTATTCTTTTTGATGACTCACTCTCATCTCTTTTGCTTATGAGCAAGGAAGTATTAGAGGAATTTTACTCACTGGAAACAGCACTTGCTTAAATTGCAATGTAGCCAGATCTCCCAGCATGAAGTGGACATTTCAAAGTCCGATGGCCTATTTTAGGCCATAAGTGTGCTCTTTATTAGCAGAATGTGGTAGGACGAATGCCACCTGGAAAGATGTGTCCTCCAATCTGCCACTTGCTGGCAGGCAGGTCCCGGGGGAAGACAGCCCCACCTGGTCCCAGATTGGATTGTTTTTATAATGCCACTCAGCTCTCGCTGCCAGAGATCGCTCATAAATCTAGGGAGTCTGTTTCTCCTATCCTCCCAGGAAGTGTGCCCATAAATACACATGCCAAAACTTAAAAAAAAAAAAAAAAAAAAAAAATCCTTTCCTGAAATTTACACAAGCTCATTTTACTCAAAACACGCATTCCTGAAACCTGATTGGCTAGTCATATTTAAATATGCTTAGGGCCCTTGCTGATCTCATGGCAAATTCTTTTGCAAAGCTAATTATTTGCTCCAAAACACTTTAAAAGTTAATCTATTTGAATATACTAAGCTTTATTAAAGCCAAGGGAACCTATATAAAATGGACTGACCAGATAAAAACTCGGCATAAAGTGGTTTGCTCTCTCCTGAAGTGGATGAGGAGTGAATTTACTCAACATTTGATGGGGACTGTATCTTTATATATTGCTGCCTGGATGCCCTAACCTTGGAATTCGTTAGGACCGGCAGGAAATGCTTGCCATAGAAACCTGCTCTGTAATAGCCCGGCTTTTTTGTAGTTGAAACTGTTAAGTGCAAAAATGGGGACATGTGTAAAGACCTAGGATCTGAGAGAGGTCAGAGGGGAGGTTTCCTTGCTCTTCGCTAGTTAACGTTAGTTTTAGGGTCTGCAAGGCCACCTACCTCCAGGCCGGGCTGCTGAGTCCCTGGCATGGGCACGGCCATTGGCCTGCTTCCAACTTTGGGGAAATGCTCCTTGTGCCCAGGGTCCAGGCCTCCTCTGCTTCCGCTTGAAGTCCATGCCTTGCCCCAGAGGAAGTGGAGCTTCCTGGCTGTCATCCTCTGATGGGAAGTGTTCCCTTAGTGGAAACACAGCCTGTGCCCCGACCATGGTGGGACCAGCCACCTTTTTTAAAAAATATTTTTTTTTTTTTAATTTTATTGATTTTCCACAGAAAGGAAGGGAGAGGGATAGAGAGCTAGAAATGTTGATGAGAGAGAAACATCGACCAGCTGCCTCCCACACACCCACTACTGGGGATGGGCCTGCAACCAATGTATATGCCCTTGACCAGAATCAAACCCGGGACCCTTTAGTTCGCAGACCGACGTTCCATTCACTGAGCCAAACCGGTTTTGGCCTGGCCACCTTTCAGTGCACAGGATGACACTCAGCTGAGCCACACCGGCCAGAGCACGATATGTTTTTTATAAAATGTGGCCGAATAACATGTTTATGATGAGACAAAGACAGTCCTGCTTGACTCTCAGTAACTTTGCAGGGATTGAAAGTAAAAATGATGACCTAGAAGTTAACTTTTTTAAAAAAATATATATATATATATTCAACCATTTTATATCACATGAACATTCTTAAAAATCATAAGCAATCATTTGGACTTGAGGTTGGCCAGCTATCTTTGCACTCTCTGAGTAGGAAAACATTTTAGCATTTTGCTCCACTCCTATTTGATGTATCAATTTTATTAACACTGAGTAGTGGTATTAATCCTTCAGAGCTTTAGAAGTACCAGCCATCCATCAAAGTAATAAATTACTTCACAGGATTCTACTGGTAGCACTTACCTAACTTAGTGCTTCCTTGCAGATTAAATCAATTCACATTGCTCACCCTCTGGTTAACACAATTCATAGGATTTGCGAACTGGGAGAGATTTTACACATTATTCATTCGATGTGTCATAGATGAAGAGACTTCAAGTTAAGTTAAATAATTTAAATAATTTCCATATAAGTTAAATAATTTCCCAAGATCAGTTGTCTACTAATTATAGGGGTCAAAGCTAGCAATTATGTCTCTCCCAAAGCCATGCCTATGCTATTTCTACCGTACGCCCCACCCTGTAGAAAATTCGGAGATTTGACTACATGCCACAATGGCAGCGCTGTTCCATGGAACATACTAACCCATACATGTGTACATGTATGCACGTACACGCTCATTGAGACCTGGTTTCCTCCTTTTCCAGTGATACATCATTTCTCAACAAAACAGAGAAGAATCCGAGCGATAAAGGAAATGGCCCGCATCCTGGTGCCGGGAGGCCAGCTGATGATTTACGTGTGGGCGATGGAGCAGAAGCACCGGCGCTTTGAGAAGCAGGACGTGCTGGTGCCGTGGAACAGGGCCCTGTGCTCCCGGCTCCTGTCCCAGGGCAGCCCGCCGGGCAGGAGGAAGCCGGGTGGCCTCCTGGAGAGAAGCCACCCCTACCCGCCGCCCGGCACCACCGGCTGCACCTGCTCTGTCTGCTTCAGGGAGCGGCGGGACGCCAGGCGGTCCCACAGCGCCGACTACGAGCCTAGCAGGGCCAGGACATGCTGTGCCAATGTTTCCAAGGAGGCCGGGGCGGAGAACGGCTTCTACAACACGCTGGGAAGATCTTTTCGCTCCTGGTTCTGCTCCAGATCCCTGGATGAGTCCAGTCTGCAGAAGCAAGTGGAAAGAGGGAGATCCTTGAAAAATACAGACGGCTGGGCCTCCAGCACCGTCTCCATCCAGCCTGCCAGACACATCAGTTTGGACAGGGATCCCCGAGAGCCATCGTCAGCGAGAGAGCAGAGCTCCGATGAGGACGTGTTTGTGGAAACGGCTCAGAAGCACGCGGAGTGGCTGCGGGCACCGGCCACGGAGGGACATCCCGACAGAGACCCCCGAGGAGAAACAGGGAGAGATGCAGGCGGGGAGGGTCTGGGGGGCACCCATCCCAAGGAGACGTGTGCGGCCACAGGCATGATAGAAGAAGGGCAGCCTTCTGCTCGCAGGATGCTGAGAAGGGTTTCCACGCTGGATTCCACAGACTCCCTCCCCGACGACACCATCGCCTTGGAAGGACAGCAGCCGCCGGACGCGCTGGACTCCGGGGCCTTTATGCGCTACTACCACGTGTTCCGGGAAGGCGAGCTGTGTGGGCTGCTGAGGGAGAACGTGTCCGAGCTGCACATCCTGAGCTCCGGGAACGACCACGGCAACTGGTGCATCATCGCCGAGAAGAAGGAGGCCTGTGGCTGACGGGATCAGCTCCGACAGCTCGTGGCACTGGGACTTCACCGATGCTGGGATGGCTCCCTGAATGTGCATCCACCTCCATCCTTTTTTAGCCCATGCATGCTCTGGTGTGTCGACACTGTGGAATAGTCATCTTCTGAATCTTTCCATAAGCACAGAGCCTGGCAGCTGAAGCGTTTGGCGAAGGGTGTTTGTGGTTCCGTGTTGATGGAAGGGATCTGAAGGAGCAGTGTGAAGTGAGCTTCATTTCAGTTTGGGAGTTTTGTCCCCCTGAAAGATGAAATTATTAGGAGACTACATGTGTACAGTGTTTCAGTCTTGTAAACTGATTTTAAAAGATTCTGTTTGTAAGTATACCTTCCAAAAAACGGCATTTTTATAAAGCTAGGGGGGTAATTCCTGTTTCTCAGAAGATGTCTTAGATCTGTGTGCCAGGTAACCGATAAGCCTGTCCCATTGCACAGATGGGAATCGAACCTGGTGATAAATTATTCTGTTACCAAGGCATTGCTTCAACTTAGAGTCTTCAGAGAGGTGAGAAACAGGAGAGAGAGAGGAAAGAAGTGTTTCCAGATTTGTCAAAACGATAAGCAGTCTCGCATCAAGCGAAGTGGATCAGTAGGTTATCAATGTCACTCAGACATTCTTAAAGGGGCTCTTAGCACAGAGAGAGGTGGCTGTGGGTACTTGAAATTGGTATTTTTCTGACCTTGTTGAGGCAGGACTACCCAGTTATGATAAGCCCAAGATTGACTAAGGAAGAGTTTTCACTAGAACTGTGGTTCCCACCATTTTTGGCCAGGCCCCACCTAAACATCTCTAAAATCCTGATGCCCCCCCCCTGTGACATAAAATCCTTATTATTCAAAAATTAAACTCCTATTCACATGGAG